TGTCATGAGATGACAAAAAAATCAGTTGCTAAACGTTTCTTCAACAATTCAAAAATTGTTAAACTCTAGCAAAATTATTACTAATAGGATAATAGCTCATACGCAATCCAAATGTGAAATTGGTCATAAACTTACAATTGCTCATCACCATATACAATTATCATACATTTGTGATACAATTTCTGCAACAATTATGATACAAATACAATTATGATACAATCGTGATACAATTCTTATCTTCATCTTCTTCATGTTTCAATCACGACTCTAAACTTAAATTCTGATACAATATTGTATTATAATTGTATTAGTATTGTATTAGGTATTATTTTACATATTGATATATCAGATACGAGTCAAATACAACTTTGATACAATTATGATACAATTATGATACAATTGTGATACAATTTAGAAACTTTTCTTCTTCGAGTTTCAGTATGAAATTTTACCTAAAAATAACTCTAAACTTAACCAATCTCCCCTCATAATTGAGATATAAACTCCAATTTATATTCTCACCCAATCCAAACAAATCACAAATTCGTAAAACTCATATGTTGAATTCAAAGCTTTTTAATGATTGTTAATGGATAATTCTTTGCTACTGCAATTTTAGAGATAATGTCGATGAATTTGTGTGAAGAGGATGAGAACAAATCACAATTTCGTAAAACCCAAATATTGAATTCAAAGTTTTGAAACTTTTTAATGGTTGTCAATGGAGAACTCTTTGCTACTGCAATTTTAGAGATAATATCGATGAATTTGTGTGAAGAGGATAAGATTTGGATTAATTTGTATGAAAGAGAGAAATATTTTAAAATCTTTTTGAAAATGGGATGAAAACTTGATTTTAGGGGCTTTACATAACTGATATACATTAGAGTGGGGGGAGGGTGGGGTGGCATGGGGGAGGGGAGAGGAAAGGGCTATATCAGTTACATCTTAGTTTTAAAGATGCTCTCTTTATTAAGGTTTTGCATATAAATAATAAATATAGATAGAGAATATAACTTTTAAGAAATCTAAAGAAAAATAATAATTAAGTTTCTATTATAATATAGCTAGGTAAGTTTTCCTTAAAATTGTCGTTACTTTCTATTCGAATGACCACTGCCCAATTAGCCCTTCATGCTCCCTTATGAATTAACATTATTAGAAAAAAGAAAATACAATTCAACACCTTTGCGGCCTAATTACGTCGGGTGGGCATTTTTAAGATCACTTATATTTTGACTCCGAAAATTTTAGCTTTTTAGCCATTCCACAGGTTTTTCTTCTTCTCCTCCTCCCTGTTTTTTCATTTGCATCTTCTTCTACTACTTCATTCTTCTGCATTTTCTTCTCCTCCTTTGGAGAAATTTAAAAATACAATTGCTAGTTTTTTTTTGTTTGAGCTTCAAAAAAACTTGTTGAAGAAAATAAAATGGGTATTAATTTTTGAAGGTTTAAGTTGAATTTAACCATTAAAAATTATTGAAATTGATATTAGAAGCTTGTATCAAATTTGAAGTCTTTTGGCATTGATTTGGATAAATCTTGAAGCAAAATATGATGGTGAATTTTTTTACAGTAGTTATTATGATGGTCAAAATTTGTGGTCAATTATGGCGATTTGCCAGGATTTTTGTAAATCAGTTATGGTGATATTTAAAAATTACGTCCAATTATAACGATTGCAAGTATTTTTTTAAATCAGTTTTAAGGTGGTGGTTAGAATTTTTGGCGAATTGCCTGGATTTTTGCAAATCAATTATGATGATGGTCAAAATTTGCACCCAATTATGACAATTGATCATAAATTTTAACTATCGCCATAAGGCAAAAAATTCTAATGAGTATACTTGGAAAATTTGACTGGAAATTATTTTTGCAAGACTTATTTAGCGGCACCAAATGATCCTCTTTGTGGAAATCACCCCACCTTTGAAGCATGAACCATATCATTAAGCCCAATCAGAACCCAAGCTTTCATTTAACTGCCACGTGTTTATGAGTCATGAACCGGATGCTATAATGATGGGCCCCACAACTAAAACACATAAAGTAAGTTTCATGTGTGTCTATGTTTATCATCCGCAGTGGCTTCTCTTTATTCTTAGAAGAAGTTAGAAGTCTAAGCCTGTTAATCGGGCCAATCATGGGCCCCAGTTCAGCCCGGTACGCTAGGGATGGGATGGGTTGGGGAGGGTTGGGGGAGCCGGGCGAGAACAAACATATTTTGGTAACTGGTGCCTCAGAATTCTTTACCGTGCTACACTCCGGTCCAGCCCGGTTACCGTTGTAATTATTATTATTTTTTTTAAATGATCGTTGCCAACGATCAAATTAAAAAATAACAGTTGGGCAACCGCCATTTTTTGCAAAAATAGTCATTTCGGCCTATCCTTTAAGAAAATAGCCTCCACCCCTAATAATTAATAAATTACAATTTAACCTTTTAAAAACTATAAATAACCTCCCTTCTTCTTTATTTTTTCTCACAATTTTCTCTCTTACTACTCTAATTCTCTCTCAGTTCTCTCTTGATAATATTGCTTATTGCTCTTAAATTCTCAATAACTTATTATTTCAAGTTTCATCAAATATTTACTTTAGTCACTACAAAATTATAATTATCAAATATCAAGTATTCAAGTGAAGTGTGGTATCAATATTCAATATCATCAAATATCAAGTATCAGTCTATCAATTGAAGTTTGATATCAAATTTAGTGCGGCATCCGGGAAGAATTAGCGAAAGATCATAAATTTATGAAGTTCAATATCATAAATACGATATAGCAAAAGAATGGGAAGAATTAGCTAAAATGATTGTTTTAGGTTGTTTACCTTTAAGTTTTGCTTCTTCACCATATCTTGTTACTTATATTCAAAGAATTTATAACCCTTTGTTTAAAGGTATTCTTAGAAGTACTTGTAGAGCTGATATCTTTAGATTTTTTGGACAATATCAGACATATATCCGTTATTTGTTCGCCAGTCTTTCTTGTAGAGTTTCTCTTACTTCTGATATTGGTCGTGTTGTTAATGGAAATGATTATTTGACTATTACATGCCATTGGATAGATGATAATTTTTGTATGCAAAAATGTAGTGTTGCTTTTAAATATGATGAACATCAAAGTCATACTGGTGCAATTTATAAGTAATATTATCCATGAAGGTGCTATATTTTACAATCTTTCATAAAAAGTTTTGTGTATGTCATTTGATAATGCTTCTAACAACCATGCTGCTATTACAATATTAAAATTGTATCTACACCCACCACTTCATGAAATATTTCATGTTAGGTGTGCATGTCATATTTATAATTTAATTGTGAAGAGTGACCTTGAATTATTTAGAGATAAAATCACTTTAGTTATAAGAGTTGTTGGTGTAATTCAAGAAAATAATAGAAGTGTTAGATTAAATGCATCTAAGGAAAAATGTGTACAATATGGACTAAAACCAAGACTCATGCCTCAAGAAATAGTTACTAGGTGGAATTACACTTATTTATTCTTAAGATGTTGTCATAAATATAAAATGCCTATATCTGAAGTTGCCAATTCTCATTGTACCGATCCTAACCGTTTGTTAACATTTAGAACTTGAGATGTCATTGAACATGTTGTAAAAATTTTACAAAAATTTTATATGGCTACACTTGAGTTTTCTGGAGCTTTTTATCCTACTATTGCAAATGGTTTAGTTCATATTGCTGGAATTTCTCTTTTACTCTATAATTTGAAGAAGAAAGAAGGATATACTTTTGTTATTGAATCTATGCTAGATAAATTTAAGAAATATTTCTACCTAATTCCCCATATTTACCTAAATAGTGCTATTTTAAACCCTTCTATCAAAATGGCCACTTGTCGCCAATTAATCACTGCTTTATATGTTAATATGGATATTGGACCAACTGAAACCCATCATGTTGAAACTTGTATTTCTGATCTACGCAAATATTTACAAACTTTATATAATTATTATGCTAACATTGTTGATACTTTTGCTGTTGTAGATGCAAATATTCCTTCAACTTCAGTTCCAATTCTACTTACAAAAGTCACCAGAACCCCGCACAAAGAAATTTCTATTGCTGGGTTGGTGGAGGAGCAACTCAAATCAATTTTCTGTTCTTTCGGCCATGGCTCGAGACATGCTAAATGTGCCGTTTTCAACAGTCGCATCAGAGAGCACATTTAACCAAGCAAAGGCAGCAACTAGGAGACACTCGTCATTCATTGGGCAGCAACGCTTTGGAAATTCTATTGTGCTTCAGAGATTGGATAAAATCAGAACGGCGAAATCAAGGACGTGAAGAGGTAGATGAAGCGGAGGGCCAATAAATTAGATATATAATGGTTTATGGTTCCGATTCAAGCAATGCCGGAAACCAAGAACCTCGCGTTGACATGGATGAACTTATAAAAATGATGCAAAGCATGTGATGTACTCTTTTTTATTTTTTATAATTATTGTAAACTTTTAATTTGCAAGTTCAAAAATAAAAAAATTCAAAATAGAACTTGAAATTAATTCGAAGTATTAATTATTATTCAATGAAAATATAAAACGAAAGCCTTCAGAGTTTGATCCTTACATATTGATCTTATTAAATAAATTTTTGTAGCCACTTACTTTCAATTTTAAAATTTTAAAATTCAAATTTTAAATTTAAAATTTTAAAGTTTAATTCTAAGTCTTAAAAATTTACAAACACTTAAGTATCAATAACATTGAATTAGAAAGACATAATATACTAAAAAAATAAAAAATAAGTAACCCGGCCAGTCGGGACCTGTTAACCCTGATCCCGGACGAGCCCTAATTAACCCGAATTTTCCCAATAAGTTATCAACCCGGTTAGCCAACTCACTATCTAGTCCGGACCACTAATCGGACTAGCTATTTTTTTTCGCATCTAGCCCGACCAACCCGCCTAGTTAACACCCACTTAGAACCACGTAATATAGCACCACTTGGCTTTGGCTTCTTCTTGAAAGTCGCAAATAGGCAAAGCACTTTCATAGAACGAATACAAAACTAGTGTGTAAATAAACACGAGTTCTAGAGAAAAACACAAAACAAAAGCAGCAAAGAAATGTTGAAGCTTGCTATGAATCTCATCATACTGCTTCTCCTCACTGTTTTCTTAGGGATCACGCCACAATCAAACGCCGATGAATCCTCCTTCGATGTTCGTAAACACCTTGCCACTGTATCCAGGTCTCTCTCCTACACACACACTGAGCCAGATCAATTATTTTGAAATTCGATACTCTCAAAGGATAAATTTGATCCGTGATATGTAATTAGGATTCTACATTTCTGCACTGCTTTATCTACGTGTCACTTTTCAGGTTCTGTTGCAAAGTTTGGTGTTTATCTGACTGCTCGATAGAAGTCGGTTTTCATTTGCCGCTTTGAATTGTTCTATTGATTAGTACTTGTTTATTGGTTTTTATGGGCAGGTATAATGTTGCCAAGGACATATCAGCGAATTCATTCGTATCTTCTGAAATTCCAGATCAATGTACACCTCTTCATTTGAATCTAGTGGTGAGTTTTTGTTAGGTGTTGTTTTCCTTATTGGCGAGCCTATGTTAATTAAATTCAGGTGATTTTTTTTATTACGGAAATACATATCAGTACTTGTATTTTCTGTAGTGGGATTACTCGATAGCTATTAACAGCCGAGCCAGGAATTTTAACAAGGAGTTCAAAATATTGAAACCTGTGATACAACATTTTTTGAACTACCTCCCTTATGTTTCATACTATATGAAAAAGGTAGTGTTTACTCTATTTGCGAAGCACTATTTTCCAAAGAAGGGAATTTAATTGAACCCCCTTCCTTGGCTGTGGCTCTGCCACCTGGCTGTTATTGCCTAAATGTAGCTGAAAGCTGCTGGAGATTGACTTAGTGTTCATGTTATTATTTGGAACCATAAGAGAATGGAAATTATGAAATCGAATTCTATTTAACTGATGTTTATATGTGGAAATATATGCAAACACGTTGAGGATTGAACTATATATACTAGTGTTTTATCTCTACAAGCATATCTAGGGGTTTATTGCTAACGTATATATTGGAGGTTTTCGGAAACAGTCTCTCTACCTTCAAGGTAAGGTTAAGATATGATCACACACTACCCTTCCCAGACCCACTTGTGGGATTATACTGGGTTTGTTGTTGTTGTTGTTGTTGTTATTGTAACGACCTGAGCATCTCCTCTTCACATATCCGAACCATCTCATTCTTACTTCTCGCATCTTATGTAGTTGTTGTTGTTGTTGTTGTTGGGGGTTCTCCTAGCGACCTGGGCATCTCCTCTTCACATATTCGAACCATCTCATTCTTACTTCTCGCATCTTATCCTTCACGGGGGCCACCCCCAGCTTGTTCCGAATAGCTTCATTCTTGACCCTATCTTTCCTAGTATGCCCACACATCTATCTTAGCATTCTCATCTCCGCTACTTTTAACTTCTGGACATGAGAGTTCTTGACTGGCAGTCTGTCTAACCACCGCTTTATAGAATTTACCTTTTAAGTCTTGGTGGTATATCCTTATCACACAATACACCAGAATCCAGAAGCAAGCTTCCATTTCATTTACCCTGCCCCAATGCTCTGTGTAACATTCTCGTCAATCTCTCCGTTACTTTGCATCACTGACCCAAGATGCTTGAAATTTCCCCTCTTAGGTATAACTTGTGTATTAAGCCTCACTTCTACTTCATCTTCATGAGTTGCGTCACTGAACTTCCACTCCATGTATTCGATTTTAGTCCTGCTCAGCTTGAAACCTTTAGATTCCAGAGTCTGTCTCCAAACCTCCAACTTAGCGTTAACTCCGCGTCGCGTTTCATCAATCAACACTATGTCATCTGCAAATAACATGCACCATGACACCTCTCGCTAAATATGTCGCGTTAATACATCTATCGTCAAGGCGAATAAGAACGGACTAAGAGCTAATTCCTGGTGCAACTCTATTATGACCCGGAAGTATTCTGAGTCTCCTCTCACTGCCCTAACCCGGGTCTTAGCTCAATCATGCATATCCTCAATCGCCCTAATGTATGCCACAAGAACACCTCTAGCCTCCAAACATCTCCATAAAACTTTCCTTGGCACTTTATCGTGCGCTTTTTTCAGACCAATGAACACGATATGTAGATCCCTCTTTCTCTCCCTATATTGCTCCACCATCCTCCTAATTGGATGAATGGCTTCTGTGGTCAACCGCCTCAGCATGAATCCGAATTGGTTTTCGGAGATAGACACTCTCCTCACTTTCGTCTCCACCACCCTCTTCCAAACTTTCGTAGTGTGGCTTAGCAGCTTGATACCCCTTTAATTGTTATAATTTTGGATATCACCCTTGTCCTTGTACAACGGGATCAACGTACTCCACCTCTATTCTTCGGGCATTTTAGGTGTCCTAAAAATGACATTAAACAGACTGGTGAGCCATTCCAAGCGTGCCTTATCCGCACTCTTCCAAAACTCCACTGGAATCTCGTCAGGCCTAGTAGCTTAAAACAGATTGGAAAGCAGAATCCAAAAATTTAGATTACTGAATAAGTGTTTTAGATTCACCAATGAATTTTAGAGGGAGAGTAACTCACTGATTTTCTCTCACTACACCATTCTCTTCTCCTTCTTGGAGCCCAAGTGTAAATTTTGCCGAACCCTTTATGATTTTATATTTCATTTAGAGAATCTCTGCTCTCTTTGCTCCCTCGATGTTCATTGGAAATACTTCTATACCTCTTTAGTTATAATTTTGGCACTTTACATACCTTGGATTCTCTCTCTCAAATTTTATAATGGAGGAGACAGAGACATGCGTGCTCCACAAAGATTTGAATTTGAAGTTTTTTATGGAAATCTGGCTGATGATATATTTTAATACTTTGGCTGGGATTTCTGAAGTAATGCTTTGTTCGGAAGAGATGTTTCAAAGATAATTTGTTGTAAATTGTAATCACTTTCTTCTTCTTTGATAGGCAAGGCATGGCACTCGTGCACCAACGAAGAAAAAGATAAGGGAATTAGAAGCCTTGGCTGGTCATTTGGAAGTCCTTGTACGTGATGCAAAAGAACAGAAGCAGTCTTTGGAGAAAATTCCCGCTTGGTTATTTGGGTGGAGCTCTCCTTGGAAAGGAAATCTTACAGGTGGAGAGTTGATCAGTGAAGGAGAAGATGAATTATATCATCTTGGAATCAGAGTTGGGGAAAAGTTTCCAGACCTTTTCAGTGAGGAATACCACCCAGATGTATATTCAATCAAGACTACCCAGGTTGATTGATTATCTTCTTACTTCTTTATATTAGTTTCTTACTTCTTTATATTCGGTCAAAGCATGACTATAGTCATCCTTCCTCTCCTGGCTTAAATAATAGTAAAAGAATTTTTGCAACCAATGATAAAAAATTTTAACATGCCAACAGTAGTTGAAGAGCCAAAGGACATATTATCATCTTGTCATTAATAAAAAGGATATCTTATCATCTTGTGTACTCAAGGACTTTTGGTCCTATGATTTGCACTTTGCACTGTCTTCATTTTCTGACTTCCAGTGTTTATGTGCAACAAGTGTGCACACAGATGATCTCCAAATAAACAGATAGCAGGGATTTTTCTAGAATCTTGTCCATCTTGTTGCCTTTGTCAGGCACTAACATGGCTTTAGATGTTGCAGCCAAGCGTCTTTATTGACCAACCAAAGCTCATCTTAAGTTTCACATACTTAAGTGATGCATCGAGAATTCAGATGCTTTACAAGTATTTTGATTTGCATGATTTTAGAACTTATATACATTTTTCTTTCGTACAAGTATACCTTTGTTTTCAAAGGTTGCAGTCTCTTAATTCCATGTCAAATTCTTTTGCCTTTCCCAGTCATATTGACTTAAATATTCATGTTTAAATATATAGGTTCCTCGGGCATCAGCTAGCGCTGTGGCATTTGGGATGGGGCTATTTAATGGAAGAGGGAAGCTTGGACCAGGAAGGCATCGAGCTTTTGCTGTTACCAGTGAAAGCCGTGCAAGTGACATAGTTTTGAGATTTCATGACTGTTGTCAAAGCTACAAGGTATGAATGCAACTTTATCTGCCTAAATAGTGGAGATTTCCTGTTTGAATGACATCAAAATTAGCTTTCATTCATGCGTTTAACTAGTTAATGATTACATTAAAGCTGGGTAACTCAGAGTACATATGGGTTACATTCAGTATGGCTTGATGTTAGCTAAAGTTTACAATTTTATGTCATGGAATGAAGCCCCTCTCCTAAAATAGCAAAGTTTAATATCTCCTAAACCTGTAAAGGTAAAAAGAGACTGTTTAAACTGGGACTGCGGGAGTAGGAATGGATATATTAGGATCTTATTATTAAATTTTGATGGAACACAACTCATTTTGACTTAAGTTATTTAAGGCGATATGAAAAAATTTAAAAAGTCATGCACACAAAAGTGAAGTTTTGCATCCATTTATTGACAAAGTGCTAATTCTTACTGTTACTGATTTTAAAATTAAAAAAATAAAGGAGAAAAGGTATGAATTGAGTGTCAAAATATACTACATTTCTGCTTCTGGACAGGTTGCTCTATATCGTAAACTATTGCTACCTTTTTTTTCTTGAAGTAACCTCCTGTGCAATCTCTCCTTTGCCTACTTCTTTTTGTTGATATGGGTGCTTTCTGATCTACAGAAGGCTTAAGCAATACTTACAGATGCAAACTTATTTCTTTATTTCCTTTTTTTTGTTTGGTTTTGGGGGGAGGGGAGGTTTCCATTTTCTGAAGTTTGATTGGCGAGCTAAGTGAGCAACAAAATTATGGTATCTTCATTTGGTTGCAGGCTTTTAGAAAAAGTCGGGAGCTAAATGTAGACAAGCTCAAAGAACCTGTATTGGATGAAATTACTCGTGAATTAGTCAGGCAATATGGGCTTAGTTTTACGAAACAAGATGTATCTTCTTTGTGGTTTCTCTGCAAACAGGTCGGTATACACTATTACTGTTCTGATGAGTGCTAAAGCCTGTATAATTTTTTTATCTAGATCTTCTTTCTAAATGACTTCTCCCCCAGGAAGCATCCTTGTTGAACATCACCAATCAAGCTTGTAGTCTGTTCAGTCCATCTGAGGTATTTTTTGCTAACCCTATTCTTTTATTTCTTCGTTCAATTTCCTCGTTGGCCTTTCCCTGGTTAGCTTTCTTTCCCGGCCTTTTTCCTCTTTTTTCTGGGCGAAATGGGAAAGAATTTTTTTTTTTTGGGGGTGGGGGGATGAGGTCAAGATAGGGTTCTAGGTTCCCAGGTTGGATTTCTGGTTAGTTGTTGACTTCTTTATTGATTGGGTCGTAACATGGAATGCAGGGAGAGGGTGAGAGATCTAGCTAACTTCTATGATGTTTGCTTGAAACATAAGATGCACTTGTTGTGCACCATGTATTTTAAGTACATCTCCAACTTCTCATTTACATGGAATGTTGGAGCTTTCTTGTTGCCATCCATTGCCACTGACAAGTTTACATTTTAGGTTTCTTTGTTGGAATGGGCTGATGATTTGGAGTTGTTCATTCTGAAAGGCTATGGTGATTCACTAAATTATCGAATGGGAGTGCCACTGCTCGAGGATGTTGTGCACTCAATGGAACGGGCAATTAAAGCTAAAGAAGGTAATACTGATTCAACTAGCTTCTCTTTTCTTTTCTTTTCTTTTTTCTAGCTGGGGGTTAAATAGTTTTGTCCTGAGGCATATGAATATCTTATTATTCCCTTGTTGCTGCTACGGATCATTAAGGAAGAGATAGTGGAGGGTGTAACTGATTCTAACTCCTTATTCCTTGTACTCAAACCAAACGACTAAAATGTAATAGTAATTGTGTAAATCTCTCTAGTCGTAATTGTGTAAATCTCTCTAGTCTCTCCTTCCAAGTAATCTAGAGAATATACATCCCAGATCAGCCACTAAATTTGCAGATTCTGCCCTTATTCCTTGAGTTTAAGCTTCTGCTAGTTAGTTGTCCTTTGTAATATGATTTGTGTAAATCTCACTAGTCTCTCTTTCCAGGTAATCCAGAAAATATATATCCAGCCCTACATTTGCAGATTCTTCCTTATTCGTTGAATTTAAGCTTTTATTTATAAGCTACCCTTTTAACTAGGTGTTTCTAATGTTCAAGTTATCCTCAGATTGTTGATTCCTAGTATGAAAGCCTCCGTGTATCACTCACTCTGGTCTATCTGAAATTCTTCTATCCTATTCATGTCAGTTTCCATCATGCATGTGTATGCACTGAAAGTTCCTAAACTGAGCTTAGATCAAAACAATGAATTAGGTTCTCTGTGAATCAATGTTTCACCTGGGAATAATCTGTAATCTAGTTTTGTGTTTCTTTCAATTTCACCTTTTCTTAATATTTTTTGTACATTCTCCTCCTCAGAAGGATATGCTCCAGGGACCTATGAAAAGGCAAGAATGCGTTTTGCTCATGCAGAAACTCTGCTTCCCTTTTCATGCCTGATCGGGCTCTTTCTTGAAGAACCTGGTGAGTGTTTGTACAGAAGGATGGTTACCCCTCGTACTCCAATTTTTCTAATCTGCTTCTGGTTGCTATAGAGTTTGAACTGATACAAAGAGAGCAAAGCTTGGAACTCCCGCAGAAGCCTCCTAAAACTAGAAACTGGCGGGGAAGTGTAGTGGCTCCTTTTGCCGGAAATAACATGTTAGTCCTGTACAGCTGCGAATTGGACAACTCTAGCAAGTACTTTGTGCAAGTGCTACATAATGAACGTCCCATCGCATTGCCAGTAAGTGTTTCTGGATTCATATTATGGTGAATATGATAATGAATGGTCCTTGCTTTGCGATTCGTCATTCACTAATTGCTAGGATACTAAAGATTATTCCTGTACCTTTAATTTTGAAAAAAAAAGGTTTCACTGGCAGCCTGGTCCATATTGCCCAATTAAAGGTGGTTTTGTCCCAATCATTATTCTGATATAATTCTGTAAAAGCAATATCTACCTGTATTTTATTAAAGCATGAAAGCCTTAGAGAGATGTCATTCACCTTTTTTTACTCTTTTAAAACATATTTTACATTGGATAACATTGTTAAATCAAAAGACTTCACTAATATTTAGGAGTTCTAAATCAAATAAGTTTTTTTGAATATAATTCTATGTTGGATATCTTTTCCTAATAAGGACACAAATTATTGAGAAAATAAAAAAGAATACAAAAAGGTAGGAGGAAGCTTTCTTTTCCCTACAAGGAAACTTCATGATTTGTGTAACTTTTGTTCTTTGTCCTTGTATTTTAATCTTACAAGACCGAATCTGCCTCTTTATTTTCCTCTCTTATGAACTATTTGTTGTTCTTTAAATTTAAATCATAAGTATTTCTGTAAAAGCTTGGTTGATAAAGCCATTTTTTTCTACTCTTAAAATTTACTACGGCGTGCTACAAATGATATCTACCACTAGGTTTTGAAATAGAAATTATTGTTGGAAAAAACAGTAATCATTTAGTTGTGATAAAAATTTAATTTTACATCTGTTGAGGAGGAAACAGAACCAAACTAGAAATGTTGAAAAGCAGGAAGCTCCCTGGCGAAATGTTGATCGAACTTTTTAAGCTTTAAAAAGAGAATTCACAATAGACAAAATTTTTATTTAATTATTTTCCTAATATTTAGAATTTTGAAATTATTGACTATTAAATCTTTCCTTATATTTTTTTATAAATTTATTTATAACTCAAACATATTGTTTAATGGAGTAATATTTATATAATTTTTAAAACTTTATACACAATGATATAGGTGACACGCGGCATCACACGTATCCTAAAACTAGTACTTACAAGTTCATAAAGCGCCATATTGTCTTCCTAATTTTGGGAAGTAGACAAAACCACCAGAACTTGCCTGTGAAACAATTTGTATCAGTGTTGCCATAAGACAAGCATGCCCGTGTAAGCTTTCATTGTGACTTTTTCTTTGCGTGTTCTCTTCTTTTCTCGTCATTTTCCTTTTTCCTTTATAATAAAATATTTCCAGAAGGGTGACTGGGAACTCAAACTACTTATAGAAATCACTTGTCAAAATGCTGCTAACAACTTGTGCTATAGGTGACTTATATTTGTTCCCTTGGGGAATTTTGGTGGTTACGTGTGCTAGGTTTTCTTTTTGAAAAATTAGCTTCCTTGCTAGTTTTACTCAGTTTAATTTGATGCTTTTCTCTCTTCTTGTAGGGTTGCAATAGTTCAAGTTTTTGCCCATTTGAAGTGTTTAAGGTATTACTTTCATATTTCACTAGATGATTCAATTTACGGAGACATAGGCTATCACTTACCCATCCTAACTGTTGTCTACAGGAAAGAATAGCTGCTCCTCACTTGAAACATGACTATAATATGCTTTGCAACGCAAACATGCAACAGGGACAGCAGAATTCTGCTTCCAGTAAGTTATCACAAATATTTAGTTGGCTTTTCTCGCTGAAGAACGCTGGTTCATCATCTCAGAAAGTCGAGTTATAGTTTCTCACAAGTTTCTCTCTTCTTCTTTTCTCTGTCTGGCTGGTTGTGCCTTCTTATTAGCATGATTCATCCATTAAGCCAGGAGATGGTCCTGGCGGGGTGGCAATTTCTAGGATAACAAGTCTTGTATGGATGATGTTTCGGGGTTACAGAGTCACTAGTTGATTTTTGGAGGTCTAACCGTAGGTAGCAAAGAAGGAATATAATTACTGATTAGTATGTTTTCTCACATCTGGGGAATTCATGCTGTGTATTGACCCATGTTCCTAGAGTTTGAATGGCCTTGATTTGGCTGCTCTTTGTCAAGTCTCAGTTACGTTGGCATAGATAGTTTGTAACAACAACAACACAAGTATTAGTTGATCTTTTAGCTATTTTATCGTAAGTATGGAAGGGCTTCTTTCCAAGGATTTCAGCCAAATAGTAATTGGATATGCTGTATCACCCATTTTTGCTCTTCAAAGGGAAAATCCTTCCCGATCATGTTACTCTCAAATTTATAGGATCACTCTATGGTAATAACCTGTAACAGTGTTTATATATGGTTTGGTGTAAACATCAAGTAAGTTTTTATTGACCATTTCTAAAATCCAAAAAAAACATTACAGTACTTTTATTTTGGGTTAAAATATCTTTTAAGTTCTAAGCTTTGTTTGGCAAAAGTAAATTCCGTTTTTCTTTTCTTACAGAAAACTTGACAAATGATGAGATAGGAAATTTGAATTTTTCATTAATTATTGGTATTGGCAGAAAAAAGTTGAAACTAAGGAGAAACGGTATACACATTGCGAAAAATAGTAGTCAATTAAAATATAACAAAAAGTAATCACTCTCTTTTTAAGGTTTGTGAAACTCTTTGCGAGTTTGAAATTTGAGAGGAAGTGACCTTGGTGAAAGAATTGGAGAGGCGCGTCTCCCTATTTACAGATACCCGAGATATCTGCAAATATTCAGCTTAAGTGCGTGAAAAAATCGTTTAACGTGAAAAATAAAAAAACAAATAAGAGATGATACTGCCACTTTCAATACTACAAGTTATACATCTGTATATATATTTATATTTAAAGCACAAAAATATTTGGCGAAGTGTCATTTAACTTTTTACCTTTTTAAAATAGAGTTTACATTGGATATAGTAGTCATTTAATTATATTCCTAATATTTAGCACTTTAAATCAACTAAAATTTTGTTTACGGGTAAGGGTCTGATTTGCCACTCTACTATCATAAATAAGCTTTATTTATCCTCCGTTTACGTTTTTTTATCAAAAATATCCCTACAGTTATACATTAGGTTCATATTTACCCTTACGCGTTAAAATGGGTTACATTTGCCCTTCGTTATACTTTAGGATCATATTTACCCCTCTACTCTTCAAAGATGGTTACATTTGCCCTTCGTTATACTTTCTTGACATATTTATCCTTACAATTATACCCTATATTTACCCTCATCCGGTAGATCGTCATGTCCCACCTTTATTTTCCTACATGGGGCCTATGTGGATTTCTTTTTCTTCCAATTTAAATATGGTCACTTATTTAAGATAATTTAACCTGTCCACCCAATTTAAATAAGACTTTATTAACTCCATTGTCGTGCAACTTCTTGTAATTTACTTTGGTTACTGCAATAATTGTGAGTTGTATTAGATTAGTGATTTTGAGTTCAAAGTTATTGTTTGTCAATATGTTGTCGCTGCTATAACTATTGTATTTCGCACAATCTTCATAAATGTCGTATCAGAAAATTACTTTTCGTGAATCAATCATGGTTNTGGGGTGGGGTTGGGGGTTTGGGAGGGGTAACGAGCTGACACGGATAACTGTAAGGATAAATATGTCAAGAAAGTATAACGAAGGGGAAATGTAACCCTTTTCGAAGAGTACATGGGTAAATATGATCTTAAAGTATAACGAAGGGCAAATGTAACTCTTTTAAACGTTTAAGGGGTAAATATGAACCTAATGTATAACGGTAAGAATATTTTTGATAGAAAAATTAAACGGAGGGTAAATAAGGCCTATTTATGATAGTAGAAGGGCAAATCAGACCCTTATCCGTTTTATTTAATATATTTTTCCTTATTTGAACTATTTAAAAAGTACTAATATTTAAAGCTTTAAAATCAATTAATTAAGATTTTACCTTTTATTCTAACCATAAAATCATAAAAGAACACGTTGAAAAGGAAAACTATTTTGTAATTTGATCACCATTAAACTTGTATTTAAGTAATACATTAATGATCAAAACACTCTTTTCACTCAAGTCCGATAGGTTTGGATAGTTGTGGTTTCTTTTCTACTTTGTTTTGCCTTTTGTTTTGGTTGTGATTCAAGCCTTATTCGTTGTAATCTTTCTTTATGCTTTCTTGCTTTCTTTATTTGTTTTGTTAGTAATTTTAGTCTCATAATCCTATGTAACTATAATATAATTGATGAAAAATCCAAATCTATTACTTTTGAATTACATAATTGAGTATTGTTTTTGATTGATTTTTTTGTTGGTTACATTGTATTGAAATATTTTTTTTATTAAGTCTTTCAAGTTTTGCGTTTGATGGAAATTATCAATTATAACTCTCAGGTTCTTGGTTGGAGGGAATCTAAGTACTCCTTTGTGCCATGAATGTGAAATCCGACAAGATTTGATAGTATTAAAGATAAATTGAGGTACTCAATTTCATCTAATGAACATAGATATTCTTAATTAGCTCAGTCTTCCAGTATGTCGGGGTGTTCTTTACGAACAGTTCAATCACATAGTGCTCTATTTTGTTTGCTAATTACAATAACTTAGTTTGTTCCACGATGTTTGGGCAAAGAGTCTGAACCGGCTCGGGGCTCTAACACCGAATTAGAGTAAAACTCTAATTTTCGGTATTTCACTTTAAATATTAATATAGAAAACACACACGTTTACATAACTACATAATTCCAAAAGTTACACACTCTTTGGCCGTTGAAGATTTTTTAGAAGGCTACAACAGTTAACAAATTCGAAAATTTATCTTCGATTCCCACTTCTTTTAGCCATTGCTTTCTCTTTAAATTTATATCGTCATATTTCATAATGGATAAAACTATACTCATTATTAGTGCTTAAATTTATGAAAAATATTTAGTTATTCGAAATCAATTATGCATATGGCACTTTAACATCCCAATTATAGAATTTTGACTATTTAAATAAACAAAAAGAGAAAAAAGAAAAAGAAGCTAAAGTCGAGATTTTATTTAAAAAAATTGCTTTTTATGCACGCCAAGACTCTTTTCTATTAATTTTGTTTGGCGTCAATTAATGATTGTTCTTCAAAAAAATTAATTGTTGGATAAAATTGTGCTAACATTAAAACCTCCTTCTATAATAAGTTTATATGGAACTCTAATACCAATTCATTAGTGTCCTATATAACTACTGTTGACATTTGGAAGAGATATCAATTCAACATGAATAAGAACACTTTTAACTACCTCTTACAAATATCCAAAGGATTATGAAGCCTATGGTATTTTTAAACAAAAATGACTAACGTTAATACTATCCTGCTCAAGTACAAAGAATTCTATAGATATAGCTACACAATTAATTGCACATGTATGTGGTTAATGAGTCACAATGCAAATAATTCAACTGTCCACCGCACAATATGATGTGAGACATATTTTTATAATCAATTGATGATTTTATTAATTATCTCATATATTCTTAAATATTTTTTTGGGTGTTTTATAGCTACAGTCTTCTTATCTAAGCATTAAATTGGAATTCAAATATCTTACTCAATTAGATGCCTTGTGTATACTTTTCAAACTCTTTATATGCATTTTTTAACCTTTTTATTTTCATTTCAAGATTCTAAACTTGGAAGCTTCAAAGTAAAAGGATATACCATTTCTCATTTGGCTCCTTAATTTTGCTTTCTCTCTTTTACATCTTAAACTTACTAACCAAATTAGTGTTGCTTCCTTACGTTCATGTCTTTTGCATGTTAATTTCCATTTCAATTAGCTGACAAATTTGCCTTTAATCTTTATTTTATAACTGTTTACCCGAAAAATCAGATAGAGTTAAATTTGTACGTAGTTCTAAGGGTATGTGGTATAATTTGACACAAATCGTAAAAAGAAATAGAAATATTCAATCTTGACTATAAAGAAAGAAAGAAAAACACAGTTGAGAGGAGGAAAATGAATGAATAAAATAAGACGAAATAATGGAGCTCAAAAGGTTAATTTTTCAATATGAGGAAATAGTATTCTTGTTATCATGTGAATGTGTCTTTACAGAAACAACAATCATCCATTTTATAGTGGAGGGATCCTACTTTAGATATAATAAAAAATACATAGTGGGGAGCCCATTATGAATTAGTTTTTCCCTGATTCCTGTCACGATTCTCTCCCCTGTGCGGTGGCAACGACTCTTGTCTGTGAGCTCGATATTGACTCGAGCTCGATATTGACTCGAGCTTGATTCTGACTCGGAGTCCGGTATCGATTCAGGGTCGGTGTCGGTCGGCCTATGAATCTTAAGCTCGATAATTTCGCTTCGCCTCATAGCTCGATTTGGATTCGAGCTCGATAATGATATCGAGCTTGACATTGATCGGTCCTAGAATTCGAAGCTTGATGACCTGACTTCGGACCTCAACCTGATATTACGAAGACGCTCTTCGATCAAAGTATTACCATCTCGACCAGTTCGTACGATGAACTAATCGTTTTTGGCCGTATACAGATAGTCCCTCATTTCTCGAGAAAGGATATAACGAGAAACGACATGATTTTCCAACGGTACGATTAGATATATACTGACATTTGCATCGAGTCCGATCGTGACGTACGTGATAGTTGTACCGTCGATTCAATTTACCGAGGCATTTAATGCGTGTCAGACGATGGTCGGCCATTACCGATATTGAACCACCATTGTTCAGACTATAAATAGCCCACTCCTTCATTGAATCAAACTTTACTTTTTGCTCTAATCAGACCTCTAAATCTTCTCACTCTTTTCATCTTATTTTCGATGCCTGTAGAGCCATCTTTATCAGCGTTAAAGCCACCATCTTTTTATCTTCCTTTGCTCCTCTTTACTTATACAAATGGCGAACACCTCAACGACAGTACCGCAGAAGGAGAAAGCTTCTTGCTCCTCTTCCCGGCCGTCCGGCGGCAAGGCGCCGGCGGAGCCGCTTCCCCACGAGTATTTTCTCGGCTCGTGTGCTCTAAAGTCCGATTTCAAAGTCGAAAACCCTTCATCGATCCCGGGTCGATGTGAGCATGTGTCGATGTACATATGCTCGATAACAAAGGGCCACCTCGAGGCCGTAAGGAGGGACTGCAACTGGGGTCCCGAGGTCGTGTTGCAAATTCCTTCTCCCGAATAGAGCATCACCGCTCATGTGGAGGGGTTCTTAAGTGTTTATACTTACCCCTT